AAATGCATGATTGCTGGCAGGTACATGGGAGTGAAGATTTTGAGAGAGAGATTGGGAAAAGCTGCTGGAGTTTGAGGACAAAGCAAAGCTCCCCAATAACTAGTATATCAGTTTAAGTTTGTCTTGTTATAGGGAAAAAAATGCAATTCTTTTTGTCTTATTTATTTGTAGAGAGAATTGGGGATATGCTGAATCTCCTAATGCTGCTGCTATGTGTTTGTCTCTTGCGCCAAACACTTTTCTCACTCAAGTTTTCTAATGTTTCTTCTGCCTAATAATTCATTCATTCCCTTTTTCTTCTTTTGTGTTGTTGTGATTTTTATATTCTTGGGAACATAATTGGGTGAAAGAACAAATTTTATTTGTACTTTTTCTTAAAATGTAATAATATTGTATTAGCCATGGGATTTTAGGAGGATTGTTGGCAAAGAGTTAAAACCATCGAAATCAGTTTTGAAAATATTATTGAAAACATAACATGTCTTGAAAATATTATTTGTTCAATGAAATTTATCAGTCATTTCTCTTTTCTCTTCATCATCGCCATTTTTTCTGATGACATCTATCTCTAATGTTGTCTTCCTCGCCGGCCGAGCTGAGGCCGAGGCCGATCGAGATGTCGCGCTCGACCCGAACGACACCGCTTCGCACATCCTCACGAACCTCGTGTTCGAAATTCAAAATCTGGTAGAATCCTGTTTTCGATTGTTCCTTTGTTGAGCTCCTTGAGGAACTCTGTGCACGAGTGTATGGCCTCTTCTTCCAAGTTGCCCACAATGAAGTGGGCAAACTTGGTAAATGTCTTGTAGGCTGCAAAATAGGCATCGAAGAAGACCGCTTGAATATGGTTGTAGCCGGTCACGGAGCTCAAACGGCCGCTCCCTCCTTGAATATGAAATTAAATTGTCTAGGAAAGTCAGAGAAACTGAAAGAGATGAATTTTTTTTAATTAAAGGGAGACAAGAGAAATATACCATTTTTTATCCTGTCATTTATTGCTAGTATTCATACATGTGCGAATAAGTTTGCACATTAGTAGATTTGCAATATTTGTTCATATCCACTATGGGTGAACATGGGTCGGTAGGGTTAGGAGGTTGACAAATCGTCGGAACCGTAACGAAATTTGGAGATCACGAAAATTTGATCTCCGGAAACGTACCAAATAATTGGAATGGTTCGGTTCAAAGATATTTATTTTTTGGTTCAGTATCCAGGACTATCGGGACGGTTCTATTCGGTTTGGTTCAATTCGGCTCTTCGGAGATTTTAAAATGTTTTTTAAATTTTTCTTGAATGACTACCTAGTTATATTTCAATTTTTACATGCTTTTTTTTAAAAAAATAAATCTAACTTTCATCAATACTTCATCATATTAAAGATTTTATTTTGAAAAATCAATCTTTTTGTGAAATCTCCATAACCGTACAGATTATTTTTTCGATACGGTTTCGGTTCAGTTCGAAGAAAGTCAAACGATCAACGATTATTTTTTAATTTGATTTCCAGACAATTCGAATTTCTCCAAGTCCCATGCTAAGCTCTAATAGCCACGGTAGATATGTAAATTGACCTTAATTTTTTATGTACTGTTAATCACGTCACCGGGTTTCTATGACATATAATAGGAGCAACGAAGATGAGCTGTCTGGGCCAATGTTCTAAAACACCACCAAATAGTCATCTTCTTCAATATAAAGTGTAAACTAACACAAGTGGACATCTCTCACTTTCAAAAAGCACAATAAAATAAAATGATCTGCTCAGCATTTTCTGAAACTTCAACCTACAGAGAACACACCTCATTTGATTAGAGATGGCGGCTTATGCAGCTCTGCTCTCTCTTAAGCGTACCATCGACCAAATCCAGACTCATCCTTCCCCTCCAATTTCTCTCAACCCAACACTCATTCAATCTCTCACTGAAAAACTTACTTTCTTGCAAGAGTTTCTCGAGAATCATTCAATTGATGTAGAGGGTTTGGAGGGCCGTCTAGCCGACGCAGCTTATGAAGCAGAGGACTTAATCGAGTCCCATATAGTCCATCAAATTCATGCTGAAAAGGCCAATAATGAGAACAAAAGCAAAGCCACGAGCCGAGAGGAAAATTTCAGTCCCATTGACTTGTATCAAGGACTGCAGAAAGTGATGCAAGACTTGGATTTGATCAAGGGAGACCTTGTGGAGAATACGAAGCACAGAGGAATACAGGTGGAAAGAAATTATTCGATGCCAGCTGGCCAATCGAGATCGCCTCCCCTAACCCAATGTGCCATGGTGGGTTTCGATGATGTCTTGCTTGAAGCCTTGGATAAGCTGACTGGACAACAATCGAGTCGTGAGATTATCCCCATTGTTGGCATGGGAGGCATTGGTAAGACCACTCTTGCTAAGAATATATATGTGAATGCGCTTATTGTGCAACACTTTGATTTTCGCGGTTGGGCTACGATTTCTCAAGAATATGATTCGAAAGAGATTCTTGTAGAAATCCTTGTCTGCCTCAAAACTGTTTGGAGCAGGGAAAGATTGGGACAAATGGGGGAGCATGAATTAGGAGAAAAGTTACACAAAAGTTTATCAGGTCGAAGGTATTTGATTGTGATGGATGACATGTGGAGCATCGAGGCGTGGGATAGGATTAAGTTCTTCTTTCCGGATTACAATAATGGAAGTAGAATAGTGATAACCACAAGGCTGTCGAACCTGGCTCATGAGTTGAGCGGTTCTTGTGGCCTTGAAGTGGGTTTTTTGGACGAGGATAACAGTTGGAACTTGTTCCGAAAAAGTGTGTTTGGGGAACACGATTGCCATCTGGATTTGGAAGAAATTGGATTGCAGATTTCGAGAAACTGCAAAGGCCTTCCATTGTCAATCGTCGTGGTTGGTGGACTCCTGGCAAACTCCACCCAAACACGAGAATACTGGCAGTTCATTGCGAAGAATTTGAATTCAGTGGTGAATTTAGATGAGAATGAACGTTGCTTGAGATTACTACGTTTGAGCTACAATCATTTACCGGTTCATCTAAAGCCGTGTTTTCTTTACCTGGGAATATTCCCAGAGGACACTGTGATCCGCGCCTCCAGGCTCGTCAAGCTGTGGGTTGCGGAAGGGTTTCTGAAACCGATTAGTGATAAAACTCTGGAGGTAGCTGGCAAAGAGTACCTGAAAGATCTTATCCAGAGAAATCTCATTGTAGATCAAGAATTTGGGTACAAGGGAAATATAAAACGTTTCAAAATCCATGATCTCGTGAGGGACCTATGCATAAAGGAAGCTGAGAAAGAAAGGTTTTTCCTTGTGGCAAAAACAGATAGTCCTTACTCAGGGCAAAGCTGGCACACTCAACGCAGAATAGGTATTCTGAGACCAGAATCAAGTAGCAGCAAACACATTAACATGGTGCAATCCGCAACACATGCTCGTTCTTTGATATGTAATTACGCCGGAGTTGGGTCAACCCAACGTCTTTCCCCATTGATGAGGGTATTAGACCAAATCAGAGAAGTAGATTCTTTAGAAGACATCTTTCACCTGGTCAACTTGCGCCACTTCATGGGCGCAATCAAACTATGGCAGCCCGGCCCGTTCCCTTCTTCATTCTACCACCTTTGGAATTTACAGATGTTACATATTATTGATCCTTCTTATTACCCACGAAAAGTAGTTGACATCTGGAGGATGCCTCGACTAAGGCACGTTAGAATCAATGGACTCGATTTTGCTGATCCCCCGACCAGCCACGACAATTCCGGAGTCCTTTGGGACCTACAGACGCTCAAGTGCATATGGACTTCCAAGTGGAGTGAGGAGATGATGAGGAGAATCCCAAATCTGAAGAAGCTAAATCTGAAGCTACTGTCCTCCTCTTCACGTGATGATGGTTACGCGCTCGATAGTCTCTTCCGGCTGCATCATCTCGAATCCCTTAATTGCGAATTCGCTGGTGTCCCTAAGGACCTGGCTTCGGGCCTCGTTTTCCCGGATTCCCTCAGGAAGTTGAGCTTAAAAGGCACGAGGCTCGTGTGGGAAGAGATGGCGGCCAAGGTCGGCCATCTGCCGCATCTTCAGGTGCTAATTCTGCATCGGTTAGCCTGCAAAGGGCCCAATTGGGAAACCGTTGAAGGCCAGTTCAGTAGTCTCAAAGACTTGGAGGTCTATGGTTGGCCTGACCTGGAATTCTGGACGATGGGGGATTGGACCCACTTTCCGAGCCTCGAGCACCTCATTCTCGGTGGCTTGCGTAACCTAAAGGCGATTCCTTTGGAAATCGGATATATACCGACGCTGAATTCGATTGAGGTGAACAATTGCAGCGATTCGGCAGTGACGTCGGCTAAGGAGATAGCGAACGAGGAAGAGGAGCTCGGGAATGATGAGGGCTTTCGGGTCAAAGTTGTGCTATCCGAGAAGAGCCAAGTGCCAAAGAGCTTGGCCAGTGCTAACTTTCAAGTCTTACCTCAACCCATCATATATTCCGGTACGCATGTATTTTACTTTTAAATTAAGTCAACAATTTTTTTTTTTCTTTTTGTTGGAAAAAAAACAAAACTCAAACAATTTATCTATATTATTTTCACTCCATGTATGATTATACAAATATGATAAAGAAAAGTTAATTATTATATTATAAATTTATCTATAATAATGAATGTTAATGGTGAAAGTATATATTTTATAATTGATGTTATATGTGAATGAAAAGTTTTAGTCACAATAAAAAGCTAAACCAACAAATGGTAATTTGGTCTATAGTTATTTTGACTAACTTTTGGTCTTATATAGATATTTAAAAAAAAAAAAATGAGTCAAGCAATTTTTAAGAAGTGATAGGTAAAAAATGCAGTTATTTATAAATTTAATAGTATATTTGTATGTGTTTAGCTTATTTGCAAGTCTATAATTTTTGACTTGTTCCTTATTTGAATGAATTTATTCATTTGATGTTTTATTGCTATTTTCCAGTATTATAAATCTGTAGATGCAAATCATTGGACGGAAATTTATGAGTCATTATTGGAGAGGGCAACATACAGAGCATAGCATGGAATTGTTAGCAGAGCAAGAACGGACATGTCATAATCCCAGCCACCACACACGGTGAGAGACGAGATAACACATGCCCATGGAAGCCGCATTTGCACACGACTGGATAATTTGTATTCTCTCTTGTTTTATATTTATTTATTTATTTATTATTATTATTATTATGTTAGATTAGATTTTTATCTAATTTTAGGGAATGTATGAATAATTTTGATTTGTCAATGGATTGAATAATTTTTTTATCGTGGATTAATTAAAAATGAATTTCATATTTATTTTTATTGATGAGTTGATTCATGCTATCTGCATTTATCGTTTTAATTATGGTATTTGGTTTTGTTCACCTAGCTATATTGAATATTTATAGTTTATTTGATGAAGACAACTTTAATCCGTAATTGTTATTTTTCTCGTTTTATTAGTAGTAAACTAGTGGTCACACATCTGTAGAGTAGCGCGAACAAGTTAAACGGTCCGATCATGCGTGTCCATTTTTTAGACCAATCTATTTTTCTAGGAATTAATGTTGCTGATTCACTAAAACTCTAAGTTTATTATAGGATGTCCAATAGTTAGATTTAGACTATATTTGGTTAAACTAGTTGATAAATTAGTTGATAATTGATAAGCTAGTTTATGACTATTTCAGCTACTTTATCAACTTATTTTTATAAACACTTTTAACATAATTGGGTGAAAGAATAAATTTTGTTTGTACTTTTTTTCTTAAAACTAGCAAGAGGTTGCATTTTATCTTTAATTATATTTTCAAACCTGTTCAAAACCTTCCACTAAGGATGCTCTCGAAAAACTCCACATCTTGGTGCATACTATGGCTTCGATCATTGATCTTTTTGGTGCAAATTTATGGGTAAATTGCGATTTTAATGCCGAGACTGATGATTAATTTCAAGCCCAGTACTCCACATTCACACTATCTCAATTTCAATGCTCAAACTATGAAACAACTCATGAATTTCCAGACAACTCATGAATTTCATACCCGACCGTTGTTGGTTGTCGGTTAAAACTACAACAACAACAACAACAACATACCCAGTATATTTCCAATAGGTTGGAGTCTGGAGAATCAGTTGTACACAAACCTTACCCTTGTAATTATACAAAGAGGCTGTTTCCGTAGCGACCCAAGGTGCATTGCGCCGTTTGATGTATTTTTTTTTCTAGAAACTTCACTAATAGAAGAAGCACTAGAATAATTGAGCAATTTTGATCTAGTCCATTATTAGCACTATGTCAGGAAAATTGTCAGCAGTGACTCTTCCAGCTCCATTTGCAATGGACAATTGCCTGTTAAAACTAAGCTACATATTTTTAAGTTATAAAACTAACAAAGAAAATTAAAAAAAAAAAATATAGCAACATAACTAAGTCACATATTTATAAGTTAAAAATAACATTGAAAAAAAAATTATAGCAATGTTGCTAGACAGCCGCCTGGCATATTTCTGGATAAGAAAAAAAAAAAAGAAAAAGAAAAAGAATAGAAACTTAGAAATAAGTTACATAATTTAGAAAGGCAATATATTATTTCAGTTGCATCCTAAAACATTCAAAAATAGTGCTAATAAGGCATACAAATGCAAGACACACGTAGGAATTCGACTTCCCTCCCGACCTCTACTCATTGATGAAAAGCTCAACCAAAAGCTCATATTTCGACTTGAAAGTTAGCACTAGCCAGGCCGCCCAGTCTCTCCAACACTTGGCTCTTATCACGAAGCACAACTCTGACCCGAAGGTCCTCATTCCCAATCTCCTCTTGCTCCTTAGCTATCTCCTTCGCTGACATCACAGCCGAGTCACTACAATTGTTCACCACAATCGATTTCATCGTCGGTATATTTCCGATTTCCAAAGGAATTTCCTTTAGATTCGGCAAATAGTTGAGAACGAGTTGCTCAAGGCACGGCAAGTGGGCCCAGTTCTCCATCGTCCAGTACACCAACTCACTACACGAATGAATTTTCAAGACTTTGAGGCTACAAAACAGGCCTTCGACTGTTACCCACTTGCGTCCTTTGCACGAATCCCATCTCAGAATAAGCACCTGAAGATGAGGCAGATGGCCGACTTTGGCCGCCAGCTCATCCCAGACGAGGCTGGCGTTTTCTAAAGTCAACTTCTTTAGGGAAGTCGGGAAAACGAGACCTCGAGCCAGGTCATGGGAATGGTTGACTGGATCTTGGGCGCAATAGAAGCTGCAACAAAGGGATTCCATCTTACTCAACCGGCATAAACTATCGAGCCCATAGTCGACACCGGACAAGTAAATCGTGTATGGTACCTTCAGATTCAGCTTCTTCAGATTAGGGACTCTCCTCACCATCTCCTCGACTCGATTTGAAATCAATACGGTTTTTAACGTTTGTAATTCCCAAAGGACTCCGGGATTGTCATGGCTGGTGGGAGGATCGGCCAAATGGAATTTAAAGATGTTGACGTGCCTAAGTCGAGGCATCCGCCAGATGTCAACTAGTAATGGACAAAAATGAACATAATCAAGTTGTAAAGTCTGTAAATTCCAAAGGTGGTAGAATGAAGGAGTCAACCGGCCAGTCTTCAGTAACTGAGCCGGGACTACTAGGTGGCGCGAGTTGACCAGGCGAAAGATATCTTCTAAAGGATATGTGTATTCCGGAACATAATAAAATTGGGGTTTGTTCCGGTGGAACACCCTCAATAATGGGGAAGGGCGTAATCGGTCGACATTACATATCAAAGAACGAGCGAGTTTTGCGGATCGTGCGATGTTACGAACTTCTTCCGAGGTGATGTGTTTACTGCTACTCGATTCTCGTCTATGAATACCTATTCGGCGTTGAATGTGCCAAATTTGCCCCCGGTTAGGGCCATGTGTTGTTGCCACACAGAAGAACATTTCCTTCTCAGCTTCCTTTATGCATAAGTCCCTAACGAGATCATGGATTCTGAAGCGTTTTATATTTCCCTTGTACCCCAATTCGTGAACTATAACGAGATTTCTTTCGAAAAGATCCTTCAAGTACTCTCTGCCAGCTAACTCTAGGGTTTTATCGCTAATCGGTTTTAGAAACCCTTCCGCAACCCAGAGCTTGATGAGTGTCGAGGCACTGATCAAATCATCCTCGAAGAATATTCCCAGGTAAAGAAAACACGGCTTTAAATGAATCGGCAAATGATTGTAGCTCAAACGTAGTATTCTCAAGCAACGTTCACTCTCATCTAAATTCACCACAGAATTCAAATTTTCGGCAATATACTGCCAGTGTTCTTGTGTTTGGTTGGACTTTGCAAGGAGTCCACCGACCACGACGATTGACAGTGGAAGGCCTTTGCAGTTTTTCGAAATCTGCAATCCAATTTCTTCCAAGTCTGGAGGGCAATCATGTTCGCCAAACACACTTCTTCGGAACAAGTTCCAACTGTTATCCTCATCCAGAAAACCCACTTCAAGGCCACAAGAACTGCTCAACTCATGAGCCAGGTTCGATAGCCTTGTGGTTATTACTATTCTACTTCCATCATTGTAATCGGGAAAGAAGAACTTAATCCTATCCCACGCCTCGATGCTCCACATGTCATCCATCACAATCAAATACCTTCGACCTGATAAACTTTTGTATAATTTTTCTCCTAATTCATGTACTCCCATTTGTCCCAATTTTTCCTTGTTCCAAACAGTTTTGAGGCACACAAGAATTTCTACAAGAATCTCTTTCGAATCATATTCTTGAGAAATCGTGGCCCAACCACGAAAATCAAAGTGTTGCACAATAAGCGGATTCACATATATATTCTTAGCAAGAGTGGTCTTACCAATTCCACCCATGCCAACAATGGGGATGATCTGGCGACTCGATTGTTGTCCAGTCAGCTTATCCAAGGCTTCAAGCAAGATATCATCGAGACCCACCATGGCAGCTTGCGTTCGGGGAGGAGATCTCGGCCGGCCAGCTGGCGTAGAATAATTTCTTTCCACCTGCGTTCTTTTGTGCTTCATAATCTCCACAAGGTCTCCCTTGATCAAATCCAAGTCTTGCATCACTTTTTCTAGACCATGATACAATTCAATGGGACTTAATAAATTTTCTTCATGACTCGGGGTCGGGGTTTTGCATAAGCCTCGAAAGAATCTAATGAAAGTGATGAATTTGCCCTCATTAGTGGCATTTGCAGCTTGAATTTGATGGACAATATGGGATTCGATTAAATCCTCTGCTTCATAAGCAGCGTCGGCTATACGACCCTCCAAACCCTCTACATCAATTGAATGATTCTCGAGAAACTCTTGCAAGTAAATGAGTTTTTCAGTAAGGAATTGAAGCTGTGTAAAGTGGAGAGAAATTGGAGGGGAAGGATGAGTTTGGATTTGGTCTATGCTATGCTTTAGAGAAAGCACAGCTGCATAAGCCGCCATCTCTAATTAATTCAGCTCTATTTGATGCTTCGGAAAA